GGGGAGAAGGGTGCAACAATGAATGAATGGAATTCCAAAATCTCTGTAGATGTTCATTGAAATGAAAAATAAACAACCTAAATTTAAAAAAAAGTTTATAAAGAAAAGGGAAAAAGTGTCACTTTGAGTCTTGTGGACTTGATGTCACCTAACAACAACAAGAGATTCAAGACATGGCAAAGAGACAATGATCTGAATTGTAGCTTCATTGTTTAACAATATTATTATATTGTTGTTGTGTACTGTCAAGTCAAAACCCACCCATAGTTGACTCTCCAGCAGATTTTAAGAGGCAGTGGAGAAGATAGTGGATTTAAATCGCTTACTTTATTATATTAGTTTAAATATTTACTCTCTCTCAACTTGTTTTCTATATAATGTGTACCTAACTTCATATTACTCTTATTTGAAGATTAAATGAGCATAAAATATTTTAACATACTATGCTCTGTTTCATAGGTGTCTCATATATTATTGGCATCATTTTTCAGCAGACTAATAAATGAATGTTAGAAGACAGTCCTTTGCTATAGGCAATATAACGAGTTGTATTAGTATATACTTACTTGTATACAGTATATAGTATATAGTATATACTTACTTGGTCAATATAACTAGCTATGACCAGGCAGAAGTAGAACAGAAATGTGTGACGACAAAAGGACAAATATTACATGATGCCACTGTTGTAGAATGGGACTGTCCTTGGGGTTGGGGAGAGACTGAGTAAGATGGGTTCAATAATGTATACTGCACTGAAGCAGAGGAGGGAGAGAACTGTTTAAAAGAGATATGTAACTGGGTGTTTCTGTCATCACAGGAGACTAGAACGAGGGCTGCATGGTGGAGGGGACCTGGGGGAGGGTTTGTAAAACAATGAAAGAATCTTTTCTTTTACTTTTCCATTAAAAAAAAGAAAAAGAATCAATAAAAGATTATTTTGGTTATGAAAAAAAAAAAAAAAGAAATGTGTGACGAGAGGAGGAAAAGAAATTGAAGAATATTTTCCTTAAGAAGGAAGTCTTGAAAATGTTTTACCACAGATGGGAAGATTCCAGTAGGCGGATGAAGAATTAAGGGTGTAGAAGGAAGGTTGAAAGATACAGAAAGATACTAGAAATCTCCAAGAAGAGCGAGAAAAGGATGTGACCTAGGCAGAGAAGAGGTAAAAGGAGAAAATTAGCATGGGTGAAAGTAAGTTTGGACAGGAAGGTGAGGGAGTTTCACTCTGTTATCATTTTTTGTTTTGAAGTAAGAAATAAAGTCACTTCCTGAGACAGAGGCAGTTAGTGAAAGCAGAGGTCTGAGAAAAGGTAAGAATTTTAGAGTGATGTTTGAAGTCAGGACTGTAAGGAAGAAGCTATTTAACATGGGACGCAAGGGAGATACATGCAGTGAAACTGCCATGGCAGACAAAATGAGTAAATACTATCATCATGGATCAACAAAACATGGTGACAAGTGAAAAGGACAAATGTGCAGAAAGGTTTCATCCCTACAGTATCACTTCGGTTAAAGTGTAAAGACAAAAAAGAAATTAAAAAACTACAGTAAATTTTAGTGTGTGTATATATATATTTATATACATATATATACACATATATGTTGTTGTTGTTATTATGTGCCGTCAAGTCATTTGCGACTCAT